CTGGCTTGTCCTAGTCGTGAGTGCTGAAACCCTTAAACCCATTACTAAAATCCCAAACCCCGAAACCCCCAAACAAAAGAACCCGAGGCGAAACTCCGCCGGGAGTGTTTCATCGTGCCGAAGGGGCCAGCGCTGGAGGTGCACCGAAGATGTTGGGGTTCGGGGATGCTGATGGGAATAGACTATCATATGCTAGTATACTATGAGATCTATAAGGTACAATCATAGACGATAATATACTACAGTATGCTATTTTTTTGGGGGTGGGTGTTCTTTTTTTTTTCGGTTTTCGGGTCTTGGGATGCTTCAGGTGTTTGGGAGGTTCAGGCAGGATTCCACCTTCATGCGACTTTGGGTGACTCGGTCTTGGGGATTTCGGGTTTCGGCAGGGGCACTGCGCACTGCGCAGCGGCCTGCAACGGGTTGCAGCCGGCCTTCACGAATAGCATCAGAACGTAAAATGCTTAGAGCAGCTGAATGTTGCTGAAAGCCAGGGCCTTTCTGGCCAGTTGTTCCGGGTCCTAGGTGACCCAAAAAAACCACAGCCTTATTTTCTTGTGGAAGTGGAACCCCAACATGAGCACATGTTTCGGTGCTCAAAGAGTGGGAGAAGTTGGTCAAGCCTGAAGGTGGTAGGTCCAAGTCTCATTGTTCGGGAGGCTCGCCATGGACAAACGTCAACGACACCAATGTTTTGGGCCAAAAGCCACAAAAAAGCTGTGAGGAAATCTTGGGTTTGGGGCATAAGCTGACTTCACAGTTCAGCTCCTTTTTCCCAGCAGAAGTAGATAGCATGTGGCACCATAGAAAGCCATGCGCTAATGCAACGCACTAGCATATGTTGTACGTTCAAGATGGAACATACAAAGGCAAAGATTAAATTGAAACTGAACTACACAGCACCGACCCTGGGAAACGAGTCGCCGCTGTGGTAGTTGGTGGTAGCTGTGGGCGCTTGTGCGGAAGCCTACTGTAGCCGTGTGCTAGTGCGAGACTCGAAGCCAAGCAACCCATCTTTGTTTTGTTCGTGTGTGAGAGAGATTCGAGATCCCTAAACGCACTCGATTCGCCGAAGACCCGGCGAGCCTCAGGAGAGGCAGCGCCAACTTGCAGCCTGGCAACCTACGTTGCGTCACTCGGACTCTGGAGGGTATACTTGCGTTTCTAGCAATTGGGGTCGTGTGTTCTAGGCGTCTTTCTCAGCTATGATCGGGGGGTTCACTCGTTATGGAGTGCGAGGAGCGGGATGATAGCGGGGTGCCTTGTGTGTGTGTGTGTGTGTGTTGTGGGGTTTGTGGTTTTGAGGTTTGGATGGGTAGTGTTTCGATTCGCTTGCGGCCTGATATCGCCAAGTGCTCCGGGAAATGCTCAGCATGCATTCTGACCCTATTTTTACTCTTGGATGACACACCATGTGGCTGCATACGGAGATTTGATGTGATATTGTGTTTGATAGAGTATATGGGCAGCTGCTGTGGCTCCTCAGATGCTGGAGGTTCGCGATTTCCTTGTGTGGATGCAACAAGCTTCGATGCAGTTTTGCGGTGGTTCTTTGAGTCCGCCTCGCGCTCCTATCGTGACTGGTCAGGTCTTCTCGCTGATGATCCGTGAGACGGCAGCAGAATCTTGACCCATGCCGCAGAGTATCTTCCCACCGGTTTCGAGTCTTGCTCACTTGTAAGAGGTCTGGGCGCATCTGTCCGCAGATCAGCTGTAGAAGATTCATGGCAAAAGAGGGACGACGTGTTCGGACTCCAAAAAGACCCAGAGAGCAAGATGACAAAGCCTTGAAACAGCCATTTTGGACCAGGGTTCCAGGATCCTCGTGCACCAGGTGCCCTATATGCCCAATGAATCTTTAGGCACCTTGGTCCATGCCGAGCCGAAACCAAGCTTGCGGAGGTGGCTTTCGACAGCCACCATCGAGGGCTTGGGATAGCATCTTAGTTTGGGGAAGAGGGGCCCTTCAGAAGAGTCAGTCATGTTCAGGCCTTGGGGCACGGGATGAAACTAAGTCCTTCGCACCCCTTGTAGTGAGGAGTTGAGGTTCAAGGGCCTCTCAGAGCTTCCCCGCCGAACACAGCAGTTTTGCGCGCTACCGCGCAGAGCAGGGCCTTAGCAGCGGCAACAGAAAGCCTCCCATCCGGCTGCCCATTGCCCAAGCCCACCGAAGTAATCATGACTCTCGTCCGGTACTGTAAGTATCGTCTTCATTCCTCCCCTCTCCTCAAGCTCATCGCCATGCCAACATCAAAGTTTCCGAGGTTGCACGATACGGCTCAATACGGAGCCTCCGCCCAATTCCCTGCCCTACTTTAAGCATTGTCATGTCTTTCTCCAGAATCCTTTGCCGGGGGGCCTTGCATGACCTCGTTTCTTTGTGACTGTAGACATGGCACTGACGAGCAACCCCGAGTTTGACAAAAAGGTCGTCCAGAGCAGCGACAATCCCGCAAGCCGTTGGTTGCACCTGCGCAGGGATGGTTTGGGATAGTGGGTCTGATGTAATAGGCCCGGATGCAAAAGGTTTGATGTGTTCGACCATGTTTTCGATGCCACGGCTGACCGCCCAAATTCACTGCAGCCATTTGGGTGCAAGGGCTTAGCCCCAAGAAATGATACACTCTTGACAGTCACTTACAGCTCAAGATTGCAGATCAGAGGCAGTGCTTGAACATTCATAGCTTTCTCGCAGTGTCGTAGCTTGGACACCGCTTTCGCAAGCTTTGTTGCCATCCTGCTGCCACTCCTTCCGAGGCACCAAGCCATGCGGCTTGCCTAAACTCGTCTGCAGAAGGCTTTGCAGTACGATAGTCTTAACTGAGTTCTGGGCTTGACTGCGCCAGAACAATCCTTGCATGCACGGGTTCTTGCCAAAGGTTGTTACGGTTTGCAAGACCACAGGAAGCGAGCGAACCGTTTCGCGAGGTATCCTAGCCGAAGGCTTCAGTTTGGACTTTGGTGCAGTGTGTGTTGGAGTTAGACCTTTTGGAGTGTTGTTGAAGCCACAGCGAAGCACTGAGGGGGTCCGAGATGCTATCGTCCTTGGTGGTGAAGGCACCGTGTCGGGAGGGAGCAGGGATGCGGGTTGTAATTGATAGGGGCAGCGCGTTGTGTTCTTGAGTTTTGGTGTTCACGGTTTTGCTTTACTTCAGCAAGCCTCTAGCAAAGCCGGGCTCGGGCTTGCCATCACGTTCGGCTTGGGGAGTGAGGGCTTTCGCCGACAAAAATTCCCCACTCGACCTTTGGTAGTAGCTCCTTTGCAGAGAAAGTTCCTGGAGCCTTTGATCTCAATTTGCTAAAAGCCTCCCCCCCCCCTTTATTGTGGTAGCCAGGGTCCCCCAAGGCCGGGTTCCCCCACAAAAAGGGAGTCTCAAAGAACGCCCGAAGATGCGGAAACTGAGCCTGGGGGTGGGGACCTTCGAGGAGTAGGGGTTTTGGATTTCCGGGCTTTTGGTGGCGCAGACACTTCTCTGCAGTCTTGTAGCAGACTTCGCTGCCTGGCGGGTTCGTCCTAGCAGTGCAGGAGGCAACAGAACAGTGACCCTGAACCCCTATCACCGAAAGCCCACAAACCCTTGTTTAACAAATGCACCTTCCTTAAACCACAAGCGCCATAGTTTTATGGCTTAGCGTAGATTCTTTATTGGCTTGTATGGGTAGCATCCCCAGACCAGGGGGGGTTCTCTGTCAGGCCCAACACCAAAAGCACGGCCTGCAGTCGGACATCGGAAGGCGGTGTGAAATTTCAGTTCAGTCTGAGGGTTTGGTTTTTTGCAAAGTATAGGAGTGAACAGTTCATGTATTCCAGGCCATCGAACACATCGGTTAAGAGGCAGCTCATTTTCTGATACTGCGCTTGGTTGCACGAGTTGCGGGAGTCGAGATTGAAACTCAAGACGGCGCCAAGCCCGGCAGGAAGCAGTTCGGCTTCGGTCGCGAGGACGTTGGGGGTATGAGTTCTTGGTGGCAGCGAGCAGACCGAATAATAAAGACCCCGGATGCATAGCCACCCTTACGATAAGAGCCACTCAGTTGATCCCTTGGATAAAGTTAGAGGGCACTCTGATCCTCATAAGATGGTCAGGAGCTGGATGGCGGGGCGAGTTACTACGAAGGGGAGTTCAAGCTTTTCCTGAGGAATGGGCATGGGACGCTGGAGAACACGGAGTGCCCAGACACCAATTTATGAGTTTCAGTGCTTGTCAGAAGACGGGTTGCATATGGAGAAGAGAGAGAGGCTGCTCCTAAGCTGTACGAAAGAAAAAGGTGCATAAGCAGGTAATTGTCCTGCTCTTTTTTCGTGGGGGCGGCAGGTGAGGTTGGACCTTTGCGCGGGAACCAGTGAAAGAGTGAGACGCGAGATCCTAGCCAGACAGTTCGTGGGATTTGCATGGCTATGCGTGAGCATCTCATTTCCAGCTAGAGATACGTGCAGCGAGAACGGGTTGGATCGTTGTGGAGTGGCCCCTACTGTACCGCCGAACCTGCTACTATGACCATCGCACTCGAAACCGAGACTGCCTTTGATTGGGTCAGGCCTATTCCCCAGTCCACCTCAAGAAGCCGAAACGTTGACTGTTGGTCGCTCGTGCCGCTGGAGTATAGTGAAGACTGTGGCTGACCATCGCTGCGTGGCGTGGGTCCAAGCCCGGTACATTCTAAAGCGTGTCGTCGACGTCGTCTCCGTCGTTGTTGTCATCTTCGAAGACGAGGCATGGCAAGCACAGCGTCCACGGCTGGCAGCAATACCTATATAGCCCCAGAAGAGCGATACCTTGCTAAGAAACGAGGGCCACTCGAAACCTTGGAGTGCAGAGAGCCGAGGACCGGCCTCAAGTACGTCGGCCAGTTCGAGGTCGACAAGTTCCACGGCAAAGGCAGGCACGTCTGGCCGGCACCTCGCCTGCAAGAGTTGAACCCCGGACCCTGACCCGGATGCTCTGTGCATTCCGAGCCTGTCGAGGATGGCAGCTACTATGAAGGCGACTGGCGAAATGGAAGGAAGCAGGGCCAAGGCACCTACGTCAGCGAAGAGAACCTCAAGTACACGGGACCGCTCCTAATCCATTAAGATGTGGTAAGCTGTTGGCATTCCGTCTGGATTTGGGGCAACGGTGAAGCAAATTCGGCATGTTGGGTGTTGGAATGATGCGCACCAGCCTGCAGCATCACCTTTCGAGTTGAGCCATGTTCCACACAGCAGATTCGCTGAGTAAGTCACAGGAGCCTGGCATGATGGAAAGCGGCACGGCAAAGGCATTCAGGCCGGGCTGCAGTATGCTTGCTCCGAGTCTCAGGTTGAGACTTTCTCCATTTTTGGAGGCCCTTACGGTTCAGGCCTACCCTAAACCCTAAACCCCTAAACCCTAAACCCTTCATGCTTGGGGTGATGGGCTTCTTTTTGTCGTAGGGGGGGGCCATGACCCGTGGCCAGCTGCAGCTTCAGGAATATGCAAACGGCGATTCCTACGATGGATGGTGGTACAACGGCAGCTTGACGGATGCCTGAGGTGTGCTGAAGTGTATTTGGCAGGTCTTTTTTTATAGCCTACGCATGCATCGCTCTGGATGGCTTTGCGCACCTTTCTGCCAGAGAGGGCACATCTTCAAAGCCCTAGAAGGGCGATCTCCCCGCCCGCCGATACAGCCTCTTCTGCCCATGCCGGGACGGCTAGTGTTCGGGCTCGGGAACGCAATGAATCGGTCGACAAGGGGGGTGACCTAAACCCTAAACCCTACAACTTCGTCTAGCACAGCCTTCAACCATTTGTCCCAAATCCAACCTCGCTAGTGGGCATAGATCCTCAGCCATGCGAGAGGGGAAAAAACCGCTCTCATCGTGTTTCTGCAATCTTTCCCTCCTTCACAGTCAGACCGACAGAAACCACGGCGTCGAAGCCTCGAACCGCGTGGTGTTCGTGTTCTTCTGAAAATTACAGCCATACATACATACATACATACATACACTCACATATGTGTAAATAAATAAATAAATATATATATATATGCTACCCCCCTCATGTACCCACGTTTTGTGCTTGAACCATATATATATATATATGCCACCCCCCCCCC